AAACAGTGATTCTGTCCTAATTCCCTTGCATATTAATGGTGGAGGTCCCTTTAAAATCTTAAATGATTCCCTTTGAGCTAAATTATTGACCTGTTTCCCTTACAGAACTATTAGTGATGTAAGTGTATGCTGATTGACCAAACGCATACGAAACACCGGCTACCCGGCATTTTTAAAAAGCCTCGTTTAAAAAACGAACATGGAAAACAGCTATAACAGCATTTGTTGTCTGCAGCATTGTTTTCTTTTCTCAGCTTCGATGATATGTAACACTGCAAGTTGACATAGGAGATTTAGTCAGATTTTCATGCTCTTTCAGTTGTGAAAATTGTGCTTTTACATTCCATCTCCGTTATCACAAAACCCACAACACACACACACACACAAAATACAACTCCGATCACTGCGTTGTCCATTCACCGGTTGCTGATGTTTGTAAATGCCACAAAAAAAACTTTGTTGTCGGCTGCTTCAGAGTTTCCACTGCCGGTGCGAATGGAAACAAGAAAAAGGCTGTTTGGTTCTCTAGGAACGACCCTGCTGGCACCAAGTTCCTAGAACTACGCGGTGTGAAAGCACCTTTTAGTTTTCCCAAACGGAGTAGAACCAAATACTTTAATAACTTGTGCGGTGTGAACACGCCAAACAAATGGTTAGTATTTCGGTTAAAAAATAGTTCTAGTAACTATGAAAAGGTTCCTCTGGTGTGAAAGCCACTATTAGTACCTTTTTAAAGGGTACTGCCCCAATGACAATTTTGTACCTTTTTTTGTATCAACAAGCTACAAACACTAAGAACACCTTAGCATCTGTGATCAAAACTGCAATCATATTTTCTTCAGAATAGTAAAAAGTTAACTTGTAGCAGAGTGTACCAGAACACACTGAGATTTGTTGATGACGGCCCTATAGGGGAGTTTATCTTCCAGTTAAAGTTTAGTATGTGGATTTAGTATGTGATTGAAGCAACCATGCTGCTTTATGATTGAGCGTCAGGATGGCTGGAGTGCGTGTGTAGGTCTGGCCCCCTGAGGTGGGTTCCCTAGAAACCTGCCATATAAAACCATTTCAGATTGCATTCTGAAATGCACTTTGAAAACAGGCTCCAACGCTGATCCTGTGAACTCTGTATCTCGCTCTGAGGATGTACAGTATGAAGCACTTGGCTGTCTTTGTTTTTGCATGTCACACGCTGTCACTGTCCACAGGCCTTTGATGGTGTGTGACAGCAATCTGTGCTGGTCTGAATGTCAGCCAGATGTGGGTGAGAGGATGAACATGAGGAGCAGATGTCCCGTCTCATTACTCATCAGCCACGGCTTGATGATAGCCACCTCAGGTCACATCAGCCGTGACCACACAATTGCGCTTTCAGCAAAGCGCTGAGATTGCGCTTGATATTCAGACTCCCCATCAGCCAGCCAATTCATACACTGCAAAAAAATAATAATAAATTAAAAGGTAATTATTTTTTACTTTTTTTAGCAAAAATATATAAAAATTAAAACAATTTACTTTGGCATACAATATTGCTTTATTGATTTCATTAGACTTGTTTTCAAAGGATATATCTTGAAATAGATTTACTTTGAATATTCTATTCTATTGTATATCAATATTTTTCTAATTTGGCAATATATATAAAGAGTAACTTTAAATTAAATCTCCAGCAATGTTTGTGATTTAAAAAAATAATAATAATAATTTACCATGGCACTTAAAATGCATAATATAATATAATATAATATAATTAGTTCAAGATATATTCTATGAATATATTTTTATTATTAGTCTTATTATGTAAATGTAGCTAGTTTTAAGGTTGTTTTGATGTTTTTACTGGAAAATTTGACTAAATTAAACATTTAAATTAGTGGTTAAGAAAGTTATTTTTGCTGTGAGACAAAGAGCTGAGCTTTTTATTTGAATTAATATTGCACACTATCAGAAAAAAAAACTGATACAAAAGCTGTCATTGGGGTGATACCTTTTCAAAAGGTACCTTTGTACCAAAAGGGTGCATATCGGCACGTAAAGTGTACATTTTAGTACACTTTTTCTCAGAGTGCAGTTATTAAGTAGCCTGTAATTTGATCAATTCAAATCATTCAAGCAGCTGACCAAGGTTCAGATGCTGGCGAAGAAAATGGTGCAGTCTGGTCTTGTGACCCAAAGATTGTAAATTCAAATCTTAGAAGGTGCAATCCATAAAAGGTTTCTCCTTTCACCACTGCATTTACGAACAAGCCGCTTCAGCTCAGGGTGGTTACATATACAGTATGTTTCAGTTATGATAATTGAAAAATTTGTTGTAATCACAGATTGCAGCAAGTCTATTACCCACCCACATAAAGCTCTCACTGAGCCACAAACTAAGATCTTGATGCTGTCTGGAAACTGCCAGATCTTGTTTGTTTGGTCGCTAATTGTGGAGCAGCATTGTGGCACATGGGAGTCACGTGCTCAAAAACACCAAGAGGGAGAAACTAATTGGTGCAGCGAGCGTGTGGGTGGCAATGAAGTGACCCAGTGACGGGTTTAATTGATTTAATGAAGTCATCAGCTCAGTGGATCCGTTGCTAGCACCTGTCACTGTCGAACATGTCGGAGCGTTAACAACGAATCGAGGCATGGGATGAATTAATTAAGCTGTTTTTTGGAGATAGGAAAACAAGCTGAGACAATCTTATGTCTCTAGAAATGCTTATGTTGCAATGTCATTAAAAAAGAAACTTGAAACACTCTGAGGTGAAAATGTCAAGCTGACAGAGATAAACAGGACAAACCCAAATTTTACCACACTGGTACAAATGTTTTGTCATTAGCTGTGTGATAAGAGCAGACAGCTTGTCTTGTGCTAGGTTTTGCTCTCACATATAAACTTCTGCTAGGAGCATTAAGGGAAAATGTCATATTGACTGTGACATTTCTTCCCTCCGATTCTATTATTAATACTGAGCAGCACAGGTGAATGTGTGAGCTGTCTTCAGATAAGAGCATTGGGTGTTAAGAGCTTTTAGATTGAGTGGTTGATATATTTATCTTGTCTATGACTGAAACAATGTGTTGTTTAAAAAAAAGATTAACTTTCTTGGTGATACTGGATGCAAGATTGTTTAAACTAGCCTAATGCTTTCCAATAATACCAAAAGAATGCTCTTGCTGTGTGCTAAATGACATTTTCACTTTTGTGTCCTTGGTACTCACCGAACATTTCCACTATAATGTGACATATTTATTGTAATATGACAAGTTTTGTGGAAAGTTAACTCTGTTAAGTTATGAAGCCTAGAATTTTTGTAGTACAAATGTCCACAAGAGGAACAAAAGTGAGTTTTATCCGTCCTCCACAAATAATGCGAGTAACTCTATTCGCAAAATTGTTGGTGATGCCATTACTTCAACAATATTTGTGCCAGCCATCCCAAGCATCTGCCGTCAAAGTGGCTCCCTCGCCGGGTGCCGCATAAAATTATATGCTTGAAAATCCCAGAGCATTTGTACCGTATGTCTCCTCATTACTAATTCATCCGCTCTCTGTGTAGCTGTCACTGTTATTTGTCTGACAGGGATGCAAAATGATTTATTGAAGACATATTTGAGTAATTCCACAATGAAGTATGACAATAATGATACTAGATACCAAAACAACATAACTTGGGAGAAGCCAAATGTCCCCATTGACGGAGATTGTTGGATATACAGGCCTGCAAACTGATAAACATGATATGTTTGTTCATTATGGTGTCAGTTGCCCAGTGTCTTGAGTCTTGACTTATAGTTGCTAAGCAATGGGCTTCTCGCTGCTGTCCTGTTTTGTGTTGTACTCCATCATGAAACATCTACAATCTGCTAATTAGCTGCTGTTTGGGCAGAATGGTTGTGCTGTTTCACAAGCCCGCAAAGCTCATATTACCAGCTACACCTGCCTAGGAGAGACAGATTTGAACAGCTTATTGCTAAACTTTGGAGCTGTATGGAGAAGATTTCACTTCATATACAGTGACAGTCAAAAGTTTTTACAAGTTTTAGGTTCCAGTAATTATATATCCATCCTGAACAGGCAGACATATCCTCTTATGTTCAACTGAACACCCTGGAACTATTATATATCTGCAAATAGTACTGAATTATACAAAATCAAACAGTTATATTGGGATACTTGTATGTTGGTTTTAATTGTATTTCAGGGTTATAAAATGTTGTGGACTATTTATTTAGGTTTAGAATTACAGCAGTTGTTGAAATTCAAATGCAATGGCTGTATAGCAAATAAACTTGAATTTTTTTTTTTAGAATGAAATTAAATGAAATTACAGTAAATTAAATTATGCTTTACAACCCATCAGTGAGCAAGCCTAAAGTATACATTCATAAATGAAATTAATAAAAATTAAATGCAAGCCTAAAGTATATACAGTATATACATACATATATGAATTAAATTAAATATTAAATTAAATAATGCTTTACAACCCATCAGTGAGCAAGCCTAAAGTATATATATATATATATATATATATATATATATATATATATATATATATATATATATATATATATATATTTTTTTTTATAAAAAACAAAACAAAAATAAAAAATGAAACTATAATAAAAAGTGCAAAATATAAACAAAACATATATACTATATATATATATATATATATATATTCATTATTAATTGTTCACAGAATAGTCAGTAGTACAGAACTGACGCTTTGACCAGAAACACAGACACAGCAGAGAGACTGACAATGATTCATGATGACCTTATAATAGAATGTCCTTGCTGCCTTTTAAAACGGTTGGTAACTGTTTTGTCAGCCAAAGAAATCCTTGTATGGTCTGTGCTCAAATTAAACCTGGTCTGTGCTTAAAAACACAAATAAAAATCAAACATAATTACATTGACATCCATTCATCAATATTTCCATTATGAAGCTGTCAAGAAGGACAAGTGCTGAAGTTTGGATTTTTCATAAAAATCCATAGTTTAATTTTTACAGGCAAACACTGTTTAAAAGCAAGTAGAAACACTAATACCACTGCCAGTGGTAAGCACAACAATACCATCCTGTCAGAGCGAATAACACTGCAGTAAGTGACGGCCGCACTACTTTTAAATTGCAAACAGCTCTTGCAAGTCGGAATGAGAATTATTAATTTGTGTCTGACACTTTAATACTGTATGTTGCACTTGGCCACAAAACAGCATTCATTTTACTCCTACTAATTTATTGCACAACAACTACCATGAGATAACAGAGTGACCAAACATGCTAGGAACTTCCATTCATTAGCACAAACGCATTACTGTGTTCACGTTTGATGGCTGAGAGAAGCTCGGACATGTTCTGTGAATTCAACCAGCGAATCCACATTATTCAGTGTTTAGTGCCAGTTGGAAATAAATAGGCCAAATTTGCGAGTGCAAGCTATTAGTTTAACACACTCTTCCCCCACCTAATATATCGTCAGACTGTGAATAAAAATTTCACTAGTTCATGCGAATTATTATTTAAAGGGCTCATCGGATGCCCATCATATTTCCAAGTTGATATGATTCTTTAGGGTCTTAATGAAAAGTCTATAACATACTTTGGTTAAAATTTCTCAATGGTATAAACAACACCCTTTTTACCTTGCCAAAAACAGCTCTTTTCAGAGCAAGCCTTTTTTTTCATGTTGCTTTAAATGCAAATGAGCTCTGCTCACCCTGCCCCTCTCTTCCAAGCCGCAAAGCCTTTAAAAAACTTTAGCCACATTCGTTGTGAAACTTGCTAACTAGCATGTTAGGAAAAGCGATTTGCAAAGATTCATAAAAAAGACCTTATACTCACTTCTGTAGGTGAGGCTGGATCACGAATGATTCGCGCGAACATAGACACATTTAGATTGGGGGCGCATTCCCTTCAGAAATAAAAGTAATCCACTGTCTTCAGCGGCTCAGATGTCGGGAGTAAATGACGACTGCTATGTTCATTGTTTCATCCAATAACAAAACACTTCAATCGCTTAGGAGACATTCTTGTCTAAATCTGCTCCAGCTTCGAAACAATGGCGGACTGATGACCGCTCACTCAGGGCAGGTCAATGCTTTTGTGTCAATCAAACAATCGTGGGAGCGGCCTTCATCCCTGTGACGTCACACAGACAAGAAGCTGAGAACGGCTTGATTTGAGAAAGGGGTAATGATTTTAGTAGATTTAAAAAAAAAAAGCACTGGGTGGATTTTATTCATTAGGGTGGTTGTGTACACACACTGTCAACACACATTTCAGTTCAAACAACTTGTAAAAGTGCATGTCGCATCCGATGACCCCTTTAAAACTCTTTTAACTTTTGCTGCTGAGATTTTGCATAGTTAATGTACAGTATGACCCAAGATGAGACCACAATAGTGCACTGTAATTGTTATTAAGATTATTAGAGGATATGTTTTAAACATTTCTTCAAAAATTCTTGTTTAATTCCATGTGTTTGTGTTAATTTGCTACCAACTGAGTAAATTAGTGAAAATTGTAGTAAATCCTACAAAAAGGGTTTTTAATGCTTACATAGCGAGCAATAAAGGCTACAAATAATGTTTACAGATCTTGCCCTGCAAACAGTGTAAATCAACTGCTATAAAAAAGGTTTGCAAGACTAGTGATTCATGCACATGCATTAATTTACACATACAGGGGGTGGCAGACGAAGAGCACATTTACCGGAAAAAGAGTAGGATTAAAAAAGAAAGAGGAAGAATCAGAGTTTACATGTGCACAGATATGAGTGTAATGCAAATGTCTTTTGGAAAGGCCCGTTAGCTCCTTGAAGTAGCTTGTCACGGTAACTCCCCTGGATGTTCCTGGAGCTCCGTAGCTGATTAGTATCTTATCCTTCCCATCATCCCCTGAGAGGAACAACCCTAAAAGCTTCCATTCTTCTGGGAAGACTTTCCGGTAGACGTTGCGGGAAAGAAATAAATTATTCTTTGTCTAAACTTAATTCAATTGTGGTTCCATGGTAAATGCAATTTTATTTTTACAAGCAGCAAGAAACAAGGATAGTATGTGTAGGATATGTTGGCAGGAAGCACAAGCATAGCAAGACTTCTCGCTGTATTGGCAAATTTCTCTTTGAGTGAACCAACAAACAGACCAATCCTCAATTATTTCAGTCCAAGATCCACAAAACTGCAACATGACAGAACTCCTCTAAATTTCTACACACCAGATTATTAAACACTAATATTAATTCTCATTCAGAACCATGCAAAGCATGTTAGGAACGGGAAATGACCTTCCCAGTCCAGTAATGCTGCATTAGCACATATTTTCAGTTATTACTTTAAAAGGGCCCCTATTATGCCCCTTTTTATAAGATGTAATATAGATCTCAGGTGTCCCCAAAATGTGTCTATGAAGTTTCAGCTCAAAATATCCCTCAGATCATTTAATAAATCATTTTGAAAATGGCCGTTTTAAGTGAAACCAGAAACATGCTGTTTTCATGCATGTCTGTTTAAATGCAAATGAGCTGCTGCTCCCCACCCCCTTTTCCAGAATAGGGCTGTGCCTTTACAGCTCATACCTCAGATACTTTGCCAAAAAAGCTAAAGTTTGGTTTTATTCATCATGGCTATCGCACTGAAATCAAGCGTTTTAAAGCCATATCAGTTTAAACTTCTGAAATATGGTTTTCTAAGCGCACATATCCGAGGCACATGCACAGAAAGCGGCTGTCACACGGCATGTGAGTAGGCCTACTACATGTGAATACTTCTCTTTCATGTCTTATTGCGCTTAAACTGTCAAATACACACAGGTTTATGCTAAAAACACAAAAACACAGTCAGTTATGTCTGTGAAGGTAAACAGCTGGGAAAGAAATCGCATGTTTATTTTAGATGTGTGTATTAAGTGACAGCAGCCAAATATACAGTACCTGCTGTCTGCGCTGTTAATATGACCCAAACAATAAAATAAAAGCAGAAAGTCACTCACTGCTCTGGACTGAATAACATCTATAGCTTCAATAAGAAGACATTTCTTACTTGAATGCTGCTTTTAAATGCTCTAGCTTGAACATAAACATGGTGGATTGCGTGTTTGCGGTCACTCAGGGCAGGGTCTCTGCTAGCACAGCAGTGTCCGTCAACAGTTGTGGGCGGGGCCTGAAAAAAGTGACGTCACATTTGACAAATTCTGCCAACGGCTTGTTCTGAGAAACTGCTTATGATTTATGGGGATTTTAAAAAAGGAGCATGTGGATTTTTATAGTTATAGGGTGGTTGTGTGCACACACTGCCAACACAAATTTATGTTCAAACAACATGTAAAAGTGAATTTTGCATAATACGTGCCCTTTAAGTAATTAAATGGATGGATGGGCATCAGATGTTGAGAAAGCAGAGCAAAAAGAAAAGTACATTCCTTACACTATCAAATAAGTTCCTGTGAGTTTAATTGAGAGAGTTTTGTTACCAAGCATGGAAATATCTCCCTCAGAGTTTGGATCACGGCAGGTAGATAGAACAAGGGCATGTCGACACACTAACACTGTATACTTGACTGAAACTTACAAACTACTTTCTGTTGTTGTTGCACACAGAGTTTTTGTTTTTGTGTGATTTTTTTTTCTTCCACTTTACCAGCAAGCTGTGTCTCGGGGGATGCTAGACTGTGTTTGCAAAAGATTTAAGAAATTGGTGAGAAAAACAGGACGCATGAGTGTTTGGTGGCAAAATGAAGGAAATGCTTTCAAAATGTAGATGGAAATAAAAAGTGAGATTTTACTGGCAGAGAGGAGAATGCAAGAGGAAACAGAGAAGAAAGATAAGTGATAATGACCTGTGTTAATGTGTAGATGCAGGTGTGAAGAGCAGTGTGTGAAAGAGAGAAAGAGAGCTTTTTTTAGACTTTCTGTAAATATAATGGAGACAGCAAAGCATTATGCAATAGGCCAGATTTTGCAAAGGCTTTTGCATATATTACTGTTTTGTGCACTTGAAATTTCCGTTAAAAATCACAAAGATGTCCATTCAGTCACAATGATTTTGGAAGTTTATTTTATTTAAACAAATAATATTAATGCATCAAATATTGTGATAAACTGTGACCGATTTTGCAAATTATCTGCAAATTCTATTGCGGATATTCCTAGAGGAAATAAAGCAAATATGACAGAGAGGAGTGAAGTGATTTGGAGTGAAAAGAGAATAGAAAGAAATATATGGGTGAAATCATAGGCAGAGAAAGAAAATGAAGGAAGCGAGGCAGTATGTGAGTGAAAAGCTTAAAAGGGATCAAGGCCTTGAGAAAAGATGAGAGAGAATGAGCTTTGATTTCATGCATGTGTGCATGTGCAGTCTTTGGAGATAGAGACGAACAGAGTACAGTGCCAAGAGAGATAGGTGACTTTCCCTGAATACTGCCTTCCTACATCTCTGTATATCTGCATGTCTGTGTCTTTTTACGTTAAAAGATTTTGAATTTGCTTTGATTAAAGTTGAAAAGAGAATGTTTGTTTGTCACCTGGTTCATAAGCTTTTTGAGGACTTGACTGGGTTAAACTTAATAACATGCCTATACCTGGAGAGAGATGTCCATTAGCATTCCCATCATCTCAATGGCAGTTGCCACCCTGTTACATGGCCCGTGAAAAGAAAGAAAACTGTAAGAAATACATTCCAACGTTTGAATAGTCATCTAAAGATGCTTATCTGCTAGCGGAGGCTAACTGGACTAAAATAACCAGCCTTGTTTAAACTGAGATCATGTGACATGGACGCAAAGTTTCTCACGAGAAAAACAACCAAAAACACAAAATAAGGTAGTCACAGAAACTCTGAGATTCTCTCCTTTAGGAAGACCAAAAACCAAAGAAATACAAATTATGGAAGCCACCTTAGAAAAACAAGAAAAAAGGAAAACGAGGGGATCAAATTTAAGTTAAAGAAGTCACATTGTGATATATAAAAATTCATACTGTAATATATAAATTCACAGGAAATAGTGACAATTGCCAGATGTCACACTGAGAGATATAAAGTCACATTGACATATAAAATTGTCATTTGTGAAGTATAAAGTCACAAAACAAGACAGTCACAATTGCAATTACAATTGTCGCAAATTACAAAAAATAAAGATATAGCCACACTGTAGCAAACTCACAATTGAGAGACACAAAATCACAAAAATGAGAAACAGCTGCAGTTGTGATATACAATGTCACAATTATGAAAAATAAAGTTGCAATTGTGAGATATAGTTACATTGCGATATTGTCGAAATTGTGAGATATGCAGTCATAAATCAAGAAACACTTGCAATTGTGATACATTGCAGTTACAATAAATAAAGTTCTATCATGACAACTCTTGGAGAGTTTAGCATGGTAACGTACATGACAATGTTGTTTGGTCTTGGCAGAATAGATCTACGTTGCTTGCGGCAGAGCAAGTACTGAGACAATACATCCACAGACATGCTGCTGTAGGCATGTAAGAAATACTGCTGCTGCACATATAACATATATGAATAACCCCCATAGCATACATGAATCACCCCGTAGCAGATCTATACAGATGGAGCTGGGGAAGGTGGAGGGTTTCTGAAGCGTGCTGCAACTGCTACAGCAAGCACTAGTGGATTATTTGATTGTTGAGCAGCAAGCTCATTGGCTGCTGATGTAAAAACAAACCAATCAGCTGCGCCATGTGAATAATGATGTGATTATGTCAGATTGAGTTAGAACCTACCAGCCTGTGCCATTTAGAGTTTCATGACAGAACTTTGGATTTATATTTGTTAGCAATAGTCACATTGTGATATATAAAGTCACATTGTCAAATATAAAATCGCAAAATGAGAAACAGTGTTGCAGTTGCAGAATATATAGTGACATTGCAAGATTTAAAGTTGGAAGGATATATTCCGTAACCATTCAACCAGTTTATGTGCTAAACAAGACTACTCAAACCACAGTGAAGTGGAATTTTCATAAGTTCAGTTAAAAATCACCCTCATACCTAAAAATCAAGCACTGAGTGTAATGGCAGTGTTCGTCAAGAAAAGCAGACCTTCTAATATGTTCAAGCCCATATATGGCAAAGTCGAGGCATTTTTCCACCACAAGAAAAGAAAGAACACAGCCTCAGAGGACAGTGTGACTGATGTATGACTGAGGCTCTGTTGCAGTGTGAGTAAATGATGAAGATTCCTGCCCGATGCCAGGCCGCAGGAGTCCTGCTATGATGGGCACTGGTTTTGATGGTTTCAGTAGAGCATGTTTGATCTCTCCAACTGAGCCCATGAAAACAGATAGAGTGAAAGGATATTTTGCATTGCACTGGTTTAAAAGAAAGAAAGAAAGAAAGAGAGAAAGGAAGAAAGACAGACATTCAATTGGCTGGCTGAAGTTTGCTCAGATTTCCAGTCACAACAATTACCAAACCAAGCCATTGTTAGTCTGTGTGTAAACACTTTGAAAACTATTGATGAAACTATTGACTAGTGTGCAAACTATTGATGAAAATCAGGGACACAGATAAATTCTTTAAAGATCCTCTAAATTACCAGCACCGTGGGATGCAAATCTCTTACACAGAGAGGCTATACTGAAAGATTAATCTCTACTCTTTGCAGAAATTTGTTTATGTATACTAAGTGGAGAAGGTGGAATTCATCCACATCCTGAAATCAATACACACCTCCTCTTGCTTCAAGGCATCGTGTTTTTGCAGTCATAAAGCTTTATTCAACCTTATGACCCATGGTGAGATGTTTTCAGTCCTGTTCACAATGTTCCATTAACTCGATACAGCTCATTACACATCCTGATGCTTTAGAAGACAGCAGACTGCAGATGATATTAGAATGATAAAGCCTAATTGGGCATAAGATGGGTAGCTGACAGGTCATGGCAGTCTAGTTTAAGGTTATAAAGACATAACATAAACATTCCAGTTGCAGTGGTTCTTACCCTCTTGACTTCAGGGCCCCCTTTTGTCCAAGACAATAGTTGAGGGCTCTCCTATCATCTGAAAGTGATCCAAACATTTTATAACATGATAAAGAAAACAAAAATATTAACTTAAAGAGAACACATTTCATTCTACCAAGCTTTTGGTGGGTCTCAAGCTTAATTATACATACTTTTCTAGGTGGGTCCTTGCATGAAAAAGTTAAGGAACCCCTGCCCTTCTCCTGCCAATTCTAATTTAAATGATCATGGACCACATCCCTTCCAGCATAAAGACAGGCCCTAGAGTAACAGCTGCCACTGGCCTTTTACAATACGGCCTAATGCACAGGAGCCCTAACCTAATGCTCTTATAATAGCCCAGAGCATTTTCTGAATCTTAGCCAGAATCCTATTGCTCTGTTTTCCCCTACAATCTCCACAGACAATCTCTACAGCCTTTAACCTCACAAATTATTCACAAGCATGCACTCTTCCATTCAAAGGCCTCAAATAAAGACATAGGGTTTACATTAGCCCACCACTTAGAGACACCAAAAAGAAGCTATTAAAAATTCCAGAGTGCTGACCTCCTGAAAATGACAGTATAGAACAAAAATAACGGACCTTGCAACCTCTACATGACATCGCTGGATATTAAAATACTGGTTCTGGAAGCAACAGCGTGCCAACGTGTGACATAGTGAATGACGCATCACAAAATCAGAGACACTTCCCTTGACACATCCCATT